GCCCCAGTTTGGCCCCTGCGGTTGGTGGGGCAAAAGGACCAGCCCTGGGATCAAGCCCCAGCAGCATCCCCCTCCCCGAGCCCCCCCCGACCCACCCTGGGGGCTGCGTGGCTTTGCCGAGGGCACCCCCTCACCGCTGATCAGCGCCACCGCCGCCTCTTCATCCTCCTCCGCTGGCCTTGGGGTTGGGCTCGGGCCATCTGCGTGACACCGGGTGACATCCCGTGAGCGCCAGGGAGGGGACGGGGCGTCCTGTGGACCCAGCGGGGCACACGGGGCCACAAGGAGCCCATCCTGCCTTCCCTGGCGCTGCGGGACACACGTTGAGGTGGCCGAGGGCTGTGCAGCCCCTCTCGGACCCTCCGCAGAGCCGAGGGCGGGCAGAGACACGGGGGTCACACAAGGAGGGGGGGGCTCTGAGCGTGCAAGGGACAGGGGCAGGCCATGGGGTGGCCACTTACCCGGCAGCTCCTGGAGGCCGTCGGTCCCCTGGGTGCTCTGCTCCAGGTCCGACTGGCTCGAGGTCTGAAAGAAGACAAGCCCCAGTAACGGTGCACGTCCCCCAAGGCACCCGCCCCACGGCCACGGGGACACAAGTGGGACCCAATGGGACTCGTGCCAGCCCCTGAGGGTCCTGGGGTCAACACCAGCCCAGGATGAGGACTCATCAATTCTACGTATTCCCCCCAAAAAGCCTTCCCAGGGACCAGGCAGCAACGCTGCCACCACATCCCAGCCCAGGGGCCCAGGGCCACGTCTCCCTCTCCCAAAATCATGGAATTGGGGAATGGTTTGGGTTGGAAGGACCTTGAAGATCATCCAGTTCCACGCCCTGCCCCGGTCAGGGACACAGGGAACTCCTCCTGCCAACCATTTCCCGACCTTACCAGGGACTTCCGAAGGATTTCCTTGGTGTTTGGAGAGTCCGGAGGGCTCCAGCTCTTGTCCTGGTCAAGGGGAGATGAAATGGGGTGGCGGGGGGGGGGGGGGGGCCCCCCCCTGGGCTCCGGGGTGAGCCCACAGGTGCCTGTCGTCCCCCCCCCCCAGCACAGTGGGTACCTTGAGGTGTTTGCAGACCGACTTGAGGAGCTGGTAGGTGGCCTCCCGCCGGCGCAGCGACACGAAGAGGAACTGCCAGGGAGAAGGACAAGGGTTTTGTGCCCTCGGTCACGGCCCTGAGCCCCCCAGCTGGGGACCAGGACATCCCAAAGAGCCCTGGCCTGAGCTGCCCCCCCAAGAACTGTCCCCGTCCCTGCTCTCTCACCTTCTCCCCCTCGGCCGTGCGGATGCTGAGCGCGTTGGGCACCAGCAGCGCCGTGTTGGTCTTCTTGAGGGCCGAGATGGAGGCGACGGGGACCACTGCCTGTGCCGGGTTTGGGGAGGGGGGGGACAGGCGGTGTCACCGTGTCTCTGGCTGCTGCCCG